TCTAACTTAGACGATGAATGAGGACTATTTATAAGAGGTCGATAACTAAAACTTATCACTTATAATTCTACCAATTGGAAAGGAATTAAGGGGGTATAAGTTTTAGTCATCGACATCTTATAGATAGTCTCCATTCTTCCTCCAAGTTAGGCAACATATCCATATTATGCCTTCAATGCATTGAAAATATGGGCATTTTTCTAGTCTAGTTTAATCCTCCCTACCGAAGTCTGGCACTACCTAATACTACACAACTTCATCAAGCATTACTTTTTAGTTTTCTTCATGATTTGGGCACGAACAATTGGGCATATTGTTACAAGTTATGCACCTATTATTAGCGACTTATAATTAGTTTACTGGCATATATGCATGCCAAATATGAAAATAAAGCAATTTCTTCCCTTAATTTCTAGTTTGTTGTCTCCAACTTCTTTGATAAAATGCCTCAAAGAGACAAATTTGCTACTGAGAAAATTTTGGAACTTTCGTCTTGATCTCATGGGGAGAAATTCTTAGACCGACCACTGCTTAAAATGGAGGACACTCTACTATCATAATCTCCAATGATAATAACAAGCCTGGATAAAAAAGAAAATCTTTCCTTACTAAATCATCACTATTTAATTTAATGTACTTTTTCTTCGGTTGTTATGTCACTCTTTTCTTGTCAACTATTTCCATTTAAACTCCTCATTGGGTATTCTAGTGTGCAGTTTTATAATTCATACGAATATAAGCTGCTAGAGTTATAGCTTGAATTGAAATTAACTCTTTATCCAGGAAATCACTTTTTATTTTTTCTTTCAAATCAATATGTTCTCTACATCAAATTTATCATAAGCAGAATTCCAATAATTTATTTTTTGGGAGATTCACTATTATACCCAATATAGGAGCTCAAATTATTAAAAAAAAACCATATATGAAATGGACTTTAGAAACACATCCAAAGCCCATTTACAACATAAAAAAAAGGTTTTTAACTTCTTTTAAATTACAAAACTGCCATTGATTTCTTAAAACAAACCCAACCCCAAAATCCCATAAAAAAGCCCAAAACACTCAATAGGGCATCAAAGTAATTTAATAATCAAAATTAAATTCAATAGCGCTAGCTATCATTTTTTGGGTTTTTTTTTGGTTTGTTTATAGAAATCAAATGGTGTAGGGTTTATTTATAGTTTTAGTGCTAAGAACGGGTATATGACTAAATATCTCTTTTTTTTTTTCCAAACCTACTAAAACCAATCTGATTTTTATTTTTGGGACAATGTTAGGTAACCCAACTTTCTTTTCCCAATCTAGGACTTCAAAGTTTTTATTATTTGGAGACAATATTGTAGATTGGATATCATTTTCCACCTAAGTTAGGAAAGAAAAATTGAGACGTTAAGGGTTCATTTGATAATTATTTTATTTTTTAGTTTTCTATCTTTTAAAAAAAAAATTGAAAACTGAAAATATGTTTGGTAATGGTTTTCATTTTCTATTTTCTTCTATTTTTATGCTCCTTTCTCATTTACCAATTTTGCATCACCACACATACATTGCACTCCAGCCCCATAACTTGTGTATGGAACATCCCAATTTGGACTCGGCCGTCTGACTATTGTGTTTGTATGCTGACCCAGCTCGGGACCTCTAGATCCAA